CCTGCGGACCGGGGAGCTGGAGCCACAGGTGTAATCGGGTGGCACAAACCAAACGCCTTCCCTCAGGGTGTCCAGGTTTGTGGGTACCAGGAGAGCCCCAAGCGGAAAGGTGCAAAGAAACAGCTGCTAAGTAAGGGGGGGTTAAACCCCAGCCTTCCTAGGGCTAGCTGGTAGATTAGGATTACAGATGGATATTTCCCACCGCTCAAAAGCTGGAGCCCGGAGTTCCTCCCTGAACCCCTCCACCCTCCCAAAGAGCCGAACCAGGTGTGCTGCTTGTGTAGAGCTTCCTGTGACAAGGGATTGCTCCGCAGGCTGGGGAGGGTAGGGATGCCAGGGTGTTTTTGGCGTGGGGTGCCTGGATCCTTACTTGATGGAGCAAAACTTGGACCTGAGTCTGGAGCCCCTTCCAATGGCTACAGCACCCTGCTCATGCCCTGCATCACCCAAAGGAGACCCCAGGGAGGTATGTACCTGCTGCCCGTGCCTGACCTACGATGCTGGCAGCAAAGCGGACAGCCACGGGGTTGAGCTGGCCACAGCTTGGCTGTGTGACTACAGTCTCCTGCATATGCAGCATGCCTTTGTAGGGGTGGGGGCGGCTGGTGGAGCTGCTTGTTAAGCTCAGCCTCTGCAAAGCTGATCTAGCAGCTTATCAGCAGCCAGTGTAATGGCTCTTGGCTCCATCCCCAGCCCGGGTTTGGCGCAAAGCACCTGTACCTGTTTCCAAGCACAGAGCATCAGGACTTCCCTCCTGCCTGAATGCACCAGTGCTCTTGGCCAGAGTGGAAATGACACCTGTGAAAGGTAGATTTGGGCTTTTGCTTTGGAATGGGAACGCAGAGGGGAATCTCCCAGCCACTGCTCTCAGACGTTTGCCTGCTTGGATATACACGTGGAGGTGCGCGCTAGCTACCGTGACAGAGGGAAATAGGGGAGCTTCAGAGCTGCCATCCCATTCACTCACCTCGAGAGAGAGTCTGCAGGGTCCATATCTGAGCTGGGCTTTATTCCTCTTCATCAGGGAGCTTCTGGCTCTTTTTCTACGCAGCCACTGTTATGCCATTGCAGAGAAGGAGGGAACACAGGAACGGAAAGGCGTGCGTGCATCTGGCTGGCAACAACTGAGAGAGAAAGGATCAACTCGGGCAGGCAGAACTTGAGAAATACCCAAAAGCTTCAGGCAAAGAAAAGAGAGGCCCATGAAATATTCATCTTCCTGTTAAAAATGGGCTGCCTTCAAGGTTGACACTTGAGCAGAAGCTTGCGGAGCCCATAGAGTGACTCCTGAGAATTTGTCGTGCTGGCTGATCTCATTAAGAAAAATAGCTGTATCTGTCTGCGCTTATCTCCACAGCTTGCCTTGCAGCTAAATTCCAACGTTTGTTCATGTGTTTCCTATTACTCATAGAGATGCAGATATTAGGATATTAAATATAGATAGGAGGAAGAAATTCTTCCCGGTGAGGGTGGTGAGGCAGTGGCAGAGGTTGCCCAGAGAATTTGTGGATGCCCCATCCCTGGGAGTGTTCAAGGCCAGGTTGGATGGGGCTGTGAGCAACCTGGGCTGGTGGAAGATGTCCCTGCCCATGGCAGGGGGGTTGGAAATAGATGGTCTTTAAGGTCCCTTCCAACCCAAACTGTTCTGTGATTCTATGTAGAGATAAGCTGCTCAATCCACTGTGAAGCGGTCTATATTTTCAGCCAAGCATGGATCAGCCAGAGCTCCAGTTAGGTTTGGTGGGAGAAAAGGTGGCAGAGAAGAAATGCAGATCAAGTCAGCGCTATCTGAAGGCTTGAATGCACTTGGAGCCTGATGGGTGACTTGGAAAATGCAGGCTGAAGCAGCAGGTACCCTCCATCCCATCAGCAATCGCTTTGATCACATGAGATCTCTACGCATGGTAGTTATTTTGGCCAAGCAGCCCTCCTCACTCGTGTACGATTCAGGGTGTGATAACCAGCAATCGCATCTAGCAAAAGCCCCCCTGCACAGCGCAGGTACACGGACAGAAAAGAAATGCCCGATCCTCCTCAGAGACAAGACAGTCTCATAAAAAGCCATTTATTTGGAACTGGTCTCTCACCTGGGAGCTCCTGCTGATGCCTGGACAGGGATGTCCTTGCTGCAGCCTCTCCCCTCCAGCCCAGGTAAGTTCTCTTTATACCTCTGTACGTGCACAATAGCTGGGTATGGCCGTCAGCTGGAATTCCATGATATCCTGCTCCTACCAAGGCACAGAACAACCTTTTAATAAAAACTTTCTTCAATCAGCATGTTTTTAATCGAGGTATCTTGATTTCTGAAAGCATTCGTGCAGAGTTTATGCTAGACACACCTAGCTCCTTGAGGGTGGACTGTGGGTCTCCAGGTACAGTGAAGTCAAATGGAGAGGTACAGAGAGGATGCCTACACCTCTCTCGATCACTCTTCACACCAGGAGTGGTGCAGAATGCACATTCCTGTAAGGAAAAAAAAATATTAAAGAAAATAAGAAATCACAATGTAAATGACGTGGTATGAACTGAACTATGTCATAGTAACAGCAGCATAATGAAAGGGCCGTGCAAGGATAAGAGGCATAACTCTATGGGATAACCAGGACTTGTGTCACAGCCTAAGGAGAGGTGGTCTTTTCCCGTCAGAAATTTTAAGGAATTGAAACACCAACTTTCCATGGAGGGCTGATCGCTCTGCTGTCAAAGCTCTGCTGTCTCAAGTGAAAAAGAAAGACCATCGTTTCCACTGTCAGCCCTGAACTGGTTGGGCAGTTGGACTAGATGATCATTGTAGGTCCCTTCCAACTGAAATAGTCTAGTCTAGAACGACCCACTGGTCTGTTATAAATTCTAGCTCTGCTTCTGTACACAGTCATATTGTGGTCTTCGTTTCTATCTGCTTTGTTGTGCTGAGTAAGAGAAGGGCTCCTTGTGAGGACCTGCTTCTGGTGGCCTGAAGGGTGGGCTCATATGAGGCCAGGATGTCACGGTAGGGTTTTAGAAGAGCTGGAAATACTCTGTCCCCTGTGCTTCTAATGCTTGGTTACTCAGAGAAATGCTTGTTTTAATGCTGTTCAGTGTAAATGCCTTTCCTTGGCACTTTTTGAAGAAACAGCATGTGTCTGTATTTAAAGTCCAGTAGGACTTGGACTTGCAACTTCAGTGCTTGCTCCTACTGCCTGAACAACAAAAGACAACAGCCCTGGGCTGTTTCCCAGCTGGACCTTGGGGTTGTACTCACAGAATGGAAGCATCTTCATCTTTGGAGTCCTCTGTGCAGAAGGAGGGCTTGGAGGCAGTCCAGGTCATGGGAAAGGAGAAAGCCCTTCTTGCCTTTGACTTGCCCTCTGTTCTCACCTCCTCATACCTTTTCATTGAGCCAGTGAACCAGGCCCTGAGTGTGGAGGGTCATACGTACATATATATATATATATTCTCATACATCACCAGTGGTTTTTCTTCTCTCTCCAGTTGATTTGCAGGGTGAAGATGCAGTATCCACAAAGCAAGCTCAGGAGCCCTGCCAAGGGCTTACAGCACATCGCTAGCTCGAAGCTGAGGACGACAGTGGCCGGAGAGTTGCTGAAATGTGCAAACATCACACATTTCTTGAACCGGAATGGTACTGCATGAAATCTGGATATAAATTGTGTGGGGAGGTTGAATCGTGTAGAAGATGATGGATTATCATTTCAGTAAAATTCAAAAGCTCTGCTTATTTGCAAGTCTAGATTATAAAAATGCGACAGTGCTGCTGTGCTCTGAATGACAAGCTTTTCTGATTACAAGAGAGAGAAAAGCTAGCATGGACAGCTTTAGCAGAGGCTGGCAAAAGGAAACTAGTGCACAGCCAAAATTTAAAAAAAAGTGTGCGTGTGTGGGAAATCCAGAGAACAAAGTGACAGTTTGTAGAGACCCAGCTCTCATGAAAGTTACTGTTTGCAATTTCAGTTACGGCAGGGCAGATAGTATAGATCCACGCTGTAACTGCAGGCATGACATATCACATTGCTTCAATAGACCTCAAGGGAACTGTTTGTCGATTGTGCAACATACACCCATAACTGCAAAATTCTTTTATTTGATCTAACAGAAGAAATCAAACAAGCCTTTCCGTTAACGCTCCTTGGGGTAAACATGTCGCAGCTTCCAGGCTGCTTAGCTGTGGTTGGGGTCTCATCCAATACACCAAACACAACCGGCCAAACCAAATTTATGCTAGGGTCCTGAACGGGTCCCTCCATTCAATATCTTAAGCAGGAGAAGATAAGAAACCCAAAATATTTTGAATATTTTGTATAGAATCTGTACTGAAATGATTGAAACCAGCGGGAAATATCTACCTAGGAAATCACACAGCTCTCTTATCACTACAAAATGTATTTAAGGTGTGTTTATCAATTGATTGCTTTCATCTCAGGAAAAAATAACTCGCAAAGGCAATTAATCTCATTTCTTCCTTGCTTTCCACAATGCAGCGCTCCTGAGACACGGAATCTTTTTATCACCTTGAGGATGGGAAGGCCACAGCAAGCCCATTTCACCCTGACCCAGCCAGGATCATTCGTAGCTCTGGGACACGTCTCACAAGCTGGATTGTTGCTGGATGGCAGAGGCAGGGCAACGGAACCTCCGCGGAGCTGGAAGTGCTACAAATACATCTCATGGTAAGTAACCAGGAAATAAAACAAATAACAGGGGCCGTGCCAAGCCCCAAAAAGAGGTATGTAAGAGGCCAGGACCTCAGCTGGCAGAAAAAAAAAAGTTTGCTGACATTCATCCTGTATTCAAAAAACTAAAATAGGTGTCATGGTGCCTACGACTGGGTGTTACTTGTCACCAGGTAAGCTGGTAGAAAGAAGTTACCTCTGGCATAAGGACTTTATTCTGTTGGACGTGGTTCGGAATTTGAAGTGAAGTGTGTTTTGAAGTGTGAAGTCCATTTCACAAGAGATGCTGAGCACTTTAAAATGTCTGCCCACTTGGTTACCGTACCTCACTGTAGCCAAGCAGTCACTAGCATCTGTCAGTGCATTGCATCGGTGAGATGGAGCCCAGCTGCCCTGCAGACGAGGGAATGTGCGTTGGAGATCTCTATCTAGCACACAGGGGAAAGGAGAGGAGTAGGTTCAAGCAACTGGTGGCTGAACCTGCATTTTACAATCTGGAAGTCCAAAGTTTTATGGAATAAAATGACTTTTCTTATTGCAGCAATGGCTTAGCAATGCAGAGCCAGCAATGGGGAACACCCTTGGTGTCAGATGCCAGCTTCATTCTCCTTTCCAAACTGTGTAAGTTCCCTGTTGTTGACCCTTCTTGCAATTGGAACTAAATAGTAAATGAAAGTGAGAAATCATTAGTCCCAGTGCTATAGTCATCAATCTTTTCATGGCTTACTGGTGGGAGGACAGCTAAATAATGACACAGAACACACGGAAAATCTCACTGGTTTCTGTATTGCAGGTGTTTGGCTCGCACGATTACCTTTTAGGACAAGGGAACTGCGGGTGGGAGCTTTGCTTGCTGTGAAATCCCATCCTTGGAGTCTGCTTTCTAAAATGTTCACAAGACAATGCCACATCGAAGTGTCTCTGGTATGTCTATGCCAAGTGAAAATAGTTAATTTTCCACTGCAGTGGAGTTGTACTATTAAATCAGCAGGGAAAAGAGGGACACAGTCACAACCCTTAGTTTTCCACGCTGAGGTTAAAAAGTTGCCAGTGTAGCACAGAGTGTGAATTCATTTGTCTGAGTTTATTTGTCAGATAAACCTGGGCTGCTGGTGGAACACGGCTGTTCCCAACCTAAGTGGGTGTATAGATAAGCCCCCCGTGGCGTGTCTGGTAAGCAAACTCTTGCTGTTGTCAGGAGAACCAAGCTCAAGACTTTAGACTGGATCCCAATTTTATGAATAATTTTGGAATCCAGAGACCATATTTGCAGTAGAGAGTAAACATATTTAAACAGACCTTGTAAAAGAATATAAGCTGCTCTCAGGGAGTGCAATACACACTCCTTGTAGTTTTGTAACTGTGGTGGCCACATTTCTTATGGGGAGATTTAAATCTACATTTTAAATCTACATTTTTCAAGGCATCTTGCAGAACCTGCCAACCAAATATTTCAGGTGTGCCCAGCATCAAAATACAATTACTTCAAACCAACTAGGAGCAAAGATGTACAGCATGACAGTAGTTTGTGTTTCACCAGTTTCCTGCTTTTTCTGCTGATCTTCAAAACCATACTGTCTTCACAGTGATTCGAACTATACATTTGATAAGTTTATCTGATGGGCTGGGGGTAATTTTGATGGTTGATAGTAATCTAAAATGTGTGGGACTGCTGGACAGGAGTCCAAATTCCACATTGACTAGCAGCTCAAAAGGCAAAACGTGGCTTTTAAGGGGTGGCAGTAATTTAAAAGGCAAAACGACCCACAGCTGTTTGAAGGAGGAGAGGGGATTAGAGAGTTCAAGAGCACGTTGAGAGTGGAAGCCTGTCTCCCAAGTAAATGCCATTGTTTCCCCATCTTGGGCTCTTTCCGTGGACTTGGTTTGGTTGCTGTTCTTGATAGGGTAAAGGGTACTGGGTGAATGTTTATTTCTGCCTGAGGAACTGATTTTAATGTAAGCTTCCCAAATCCTCTACCATGGAGATCTTTGGAGAAATTCCCACTTGGTTTAGAATTCTGCACAATTACAAACTCTTTGGTTTCCTGTTACCTTTTTAAAAAGTCTTAAAACTGAGAAACCCAGTGAAACATGAAAACCTGCTAAAATTTATCATAGTCAGCAACAAAAACCTTGTTCTAAGATAATACAGTCAGTATGTCCTTCCATGTTACTAGTGTCCCAATACCAGCATCCTCAGGTCTGAACTAGATGTGTCTTTGAGACAGACAGTGGGTGCTTTCTGTTGTCAAGCTGTATCTATATTTTACAGCAGCATTTGGTAGCTGAGCTGATAATGGTTGGAAACTGCATATATACGTGTGTGCAGTGAAGATATGGAGTTCGTAAGGTTATTTGAGACTGGAGATAGTATCCTGCTGTTTGTGGCATGTAAAAAGAAACAGAGGTAGGAAGCTTCACATTGCTGCTAGGCCTTGAATATTTGGCCAGCAATATGTACCACCGTGCTGTCTTGCTGCTTTCCAGACTATTTCTGCAAAGAAGTTCTACTGTATTACGTCAAACTGTGGCTGGAAAGGTCAGAGTCCCTTCCTCTGGGAGGAAGCAAAGCTTGGAGGAAAAGGCAGTGTGGGTTGACATCTGTTCCTGCTTGTGATGGTGGTGAAGTGCTCAAAACAGCAAGTTTCTGTGCCACCCTCTTGGTGTTAGGATGGCTTTTGGCACAGGTCGGAGATCTGTGAATCTTCTCTTGAGCCATTTGGTACGCTGCTTTGTCTCTTATTGATCCTGTGTAGTCAGCTGAATTTCCTCCTGACATCTTCAGGAGGATTGGTCTCAGCTTGCTCGACGTCTGTGAACAATTTTAGTCCAAGGTCCTCAAAAAGACTAGGTCTCCAGACTAGACTTAAAGCTATCAGTTTTATGGTTTTAGGGTACTTCTTTCAATTCCAACGCCTCCCTTTAGGTCCACAGGGATTTGTGGAGAATTTGTGGGTTGCTAGCTTTTGGTTCTTGTGTTAAATTGAGCTGTGCTTCCTTGGGGTACTACCTCTTCAGCAAAACGAGCATGCCAAAGGCCAAATTTAACAAAACCCCTGAGATTCCTTCTCAGGCATCTCAGACGCTTCGTAGTGAGCCGGTGGCAAAAATCCAGATAAACCACACAATTCCAAAATAAACAACCCTCTTGCCCAGAGCAGCTTCTTCCCAGTCTTCTTGCTTCCTCCGAGACTTCTTCCGATGCCCTTGGATGTAGAAGCTGTCAACACCTTCTCTTCTTCCCAGGCTCACCAGATCCTGTAGTCACAGCCTGTCTGGGAACCTCATCAACCCACCAGTGTGCCTGGTGGGCTGACCGTCAAACACTAACGGTCACGACTGGCCGAGCAGAAAAGCGGTATTTTCTTTCTCAGGTTCCCAAACCTGGTCAGGGAGATTGGTAGCAACGTGGAGGCTGGGGCACAGCTAGGTTTTTACTTGTCGATGAGGGCTACGATGGTGGCAACGGGCCTGCAGGAGACAAGGACTGTGCTGGGGGTCCTGTGCTCTTCTTTAATGGCCGTGGCCTGGCTTTGCTAGGGAGTGTGATGGGGGATTGGGCAAAACTGGCTTTACCTCCTTCTCCCCCGCCCATCACTGTTACTTTTTACTTCTTTATTTCAAGAACAATTTAAAAAAAACCCCAAAAAACCCACCAAAAACCAGAACAGAAGATACAAATGAAGCTTCTAAGCACTAATTATTTGCTGATTATTCAAATAAGGGGTTGGGGTGTGACTAG